GCTAAGAACTATAAAAATATGGTCTTTATTTAGGTGAAATATAAGTCCTGAAAATATTACCAGAAATAACAGTGGTTATGGGATAAAGAATTTAAAACAGCTAATATAAATAATTTCATGACGTACCATGTAAACATCCTTGACAGTTTAAATACATTATTAAGTATTGTTTTTGTCAATATAGTGTGAAATGAAAGTATATTTAAACTTACAATAATTTTTTTCACTCTATTTGAGGAAAGCTTATTCCACAATTCATATATCAATATAAAAGAATATTTCTAAACATATGATGTGCACAGGTATTTAATGACATGACACATTAGAACTCAGAGTTTATCTTTTATATTAAAAATAAATGAAATTCATGTAAGTCTGCATGCTTGGTAAAGTCGATTTGATGAAATGTAATAATAATGGTTTGGTGGAAGATGTCTACCTAACTTAGATTCAGGTCATTGGACTGTGTTCTGCCACTACCTTGCTTTGTTTGTTATTAATATACCTAGGCCTTAATGTACACATCTAGATAATGTGGGGATTCTACAAAATAATCTATTTACCTTGAAATTCAAAGATAGAGCAAGCTTATATTTTTGTTATAGTTTGAATATCTCAATAAATAAAATTGTGTTACAAGAGTCATCAGGATGATGAAGCAATAAATGCTGAGAAGAATGTTAGCTATTAAATGATTGCAGTATTGTAAATTATATGTATACCTTTCAAATACGATTCTTTTGATGCTACAAATACAAAATGAAATAAATTTTGGGCAAAATTTTCTTATTCTGAACTTTTTAGACAATAGCTACTATTTGGTGACTTTGAGAGCTCTTGACTAGTGCTATCATTTCATCACTATATAATATAATACAAATATAACATAAAATTATATTTATATAATCTATCACACAGTCACTATGTATAATATATTATATATAGCATTGTATACATTGTATTAGATGATAAATATTTATAAACAAAATCAATAGACATAAAAAGGAAACTGAAGTTCTAACCTGAAATCTCATTCTTGTCACCGCAATGAAAATTAGACTTTTAGTTCATTTTCTGGTGTCTAATTTGTCTTATGTAAACATAGTCATTCGAGCTTTTGTGATTAAATATTCCATTATTTTACTCTTAACTAGTCTGTATTTTTATATCTAAAATGGGTCTCTTAGAGGCAGCATAGCATTGAGTTTGATATTTTTGTCTGGTCTGACAGTCTCTACCTTTTTATGTAAGGGTTAGACCATATTAATTTAATGATTGTCAATACGGTTGTGTTTAGAACTTTCATGTTGTTATTATTTTATTTTCTTGCTGTTATTTTCTTTTTCTTTTTCTCTCATCTTGCCTTATTTTCAATTAGACCTGTCAGTTTTATATCTTTTCATGATTCACATTTCAGCTCCACAATTGGTTTAGATGGGAGGCAAAAAATTACTTCTCAAAGATGTTCATATTCTAATCTCTGGACCTGTTATACTACATGGCAAATGGAACTAAGATTGCAGATGGAAATAAAGTTATGAATCACCTGACTTTTAAATAAGGAGATTATCCTGGATTATCCAGATAGGCCCTATCTAATCACATACATTGTTAAAAGTGGACATTTTTTCCCACCTGTATTAAAAAAGAAATGAGATGGAAAAGGAAGTAGAATAATTGGCTTTGAAGATAAGGAAAGAGACCACACGCCTAGAAAGATGGATGGTGGCTAGGTGGAAATTGTCCTCCAGTGGTAGCCATCAAGGAAATAGGGGCCCCGATACTCTAACTTCAAAGAACTAAATCTTGCTAATAACCCACTGAACAAAGAAACATTCTTTGCCACGGCCCCAAAAAAGGAACTGCAGATACCTTGATTTTAGTGTTTTGAGATCTCTGTTGGACTTTTAGTTTACAGAATTATGAAATAATGAATTAATGTTAAGGTATTAAATTTCATGGTCATCTGTTACAGCAACAATAACAAACTAACATAGTTAATTAACTATATTTTACTTTTTGGTTTTTGCCCTAGGGTTTATAGTATACAACATTAACTTATCACAATGTACCTTCAAATACTATTGTAGCACTTCACGTATACTGTTAGAAATTTACCAGAATTCACTTCCATCCCTACCCCAGCACACAGGCATTTCGTGCTATTAGTTTCATTCATTTTAATTCTACGTATGTTGTACACTCCACAGTACTTTGTTATAGTTTTTGCTCTAAACAACTCATTAGCTTTTAAAGTGATTAAAATGACGTGAAAAAAGTTTTCTATGTTTACCTATATATGTAGCATTTCTGGCCCTCTTCATTTCTAGATGTAGATCCAAATTTCCATGTGGTATTATTACATTATCTGTCAAGAAATTATTTTAACAACCCTTGAAATCTTTCAGCTTTACATTGTGTTTAGAAGACCTTTCTTTTAGCTTAATTTTTGAAAGATGATTTTGCCAGGTATAGCTTTTTTCTTTGTTTAAGCACTTTAGAAATATTCCATTGTCTTCTGGGCTTCATAGCCTCTGAAGAGAAGCTTGCTGCCATTCTCATCTTTGTTTCTCTGTATAAAATTTCTCCTGTTTTGGTATTTGTTCTGGCTGCTTGTAAAGTTTTTGTTTTTCTTTTTGATGCTGGCTTTCACCAATTTGTTTATGGTGTGCTTTAGTTTTGTTTTCTTTCTTTCTGCTACTTGATGTTAATTGTACTTTGTGTATCTGTGCATTTGTAATAGTTTTCAAATTCAAAAAGTTGTAAGTCATTATTTCTTCATATAATTTTCTGAACCCCCACACTTTGAGTATTCTTCTGGGACCCCAATATCTTATATGTTAAGGCAAGTGACATAGTCCCACAGTTCAATAAGGCTCATGGTTGGTTTTTCTTTTTCATATTCTTTCTCCTATGTGCTTTATTTTGGATAATGTCTTTCACATGTCTTCAGTTTCAAGGATTTTTTTTCTTCTGCAGTGTCCAATGTGCTTTCAATACCATCCAGCATGGGTTTTGTTTCATTTATTGCATGTTTCATTTCTAGACATTCTAGTTAGAATGTTGCATATAGTTTCCAGACAGAAAACCCTAATTGGCAAATCTCTAGCTCATGCTGTTCTGCTCAGTTTCTCTGGGCAGCTCCTTCAACCTACAAAACCCTGTAACACATATCTCATCTACTTCTGCACCCTCCAAACTGAGTCTGGCCTTTCAGAATTGGTTGAATCCCAGAGAAGTTTTTGTCTTTCATGTGTTTGGCTGTACCCAACTCTCTTTCCCCAGTGTTCTTTTCCTGCCAGCCATAAGATAGATAACAGATACTCATTTTGGAATGAGACGGCCATTTCTCTATGCAGACCCTTGTATACTTTGGATCAAGGGCACACTAGAAATCTCACACCAAGTTTGCTTTATTCATGTAATCCTTGAGCATTTGGCAACTTCTGGTAATAAGAGTAGTTTAAACTAATATCTCAAAATATGCTGTTTTAAAAATTTGCTTCAAGATAATAGGGACATAATCCACATTTTTAACCTTACATTTCCAGAACCAAGGTAAATGCTTACACAGTAAATAGGAAATAAGGAATTCATATTTACTGTTTGTTTGAGTAGGATAACTCTGTTTTGATTCTATAAACAATTTTACAAAGAGAATTTAAACAACACCAAAAAAAAAAAAAACACTGCAATTCTTTCTCTAAACTTTTATGAAAATGCCAGAAATACCTCTTTCACCTACGTATTCCCATTTTCTAATATGGTGATTCACAGATAGCATTAAACATCTTCTGAAAAATAATAAAATAAATTCCCAAAAGTTTGTGAAATTGTACATTTTTCAAGCCCCCAAATCTCCAATTTAATTTTTAATCCTGTGTTTATATTTTTATTTCTATCATTTTTATAACTCAAAGTATAACAAGAAAAAAACTATCAAAATAGATTTTGTATTACTAGAACATAAAATTAGCTACAAAATCTGAGAGAATTGCACTCATGAATCTTTAAACTACTCTTCAAACAGTGTTGTTGAAGATTACATCTTTTGATACTCTTTTCATAAGTCCCCATGTCTCCAATACATCCTCTCTTCCATGCAAGTAACTGAGTTATTCATTTACTTTCACTTGTAATGAGTAGGAAAGAGAAAATTAAACAACTAGATGAGCAACATACAAATTAGAGCTCACTGAATCCCTAAAAATAAGAATTGTTAAAAGCAAATTTTTAAAATAGTTCAAAACACTGGCATTGCATCTGATGCTATTTAGGACACTGAGGTTAGTGAGGTCTGCAGCTTACCAGGGGTTACCCATGTGGAATAGTGTGTAGCTTGAATACAAACCCAGTTCCATCATCTCTCTATACCTGCTCTATCCAGTGCACCATCTGGCCTCCCGTAACAACACATTTGCATTTGTAAAATTTCCTTGAGGGAAGCAGGAGACCAAGTAGCTGTGTAAATTACGTGATGACTATTCTTTCTCTGGTTAACAGGTTTATGTGAAATAGCACAGTGACCAAGATATAGGGCATTATTAAAGTTATTACTTATTTTGTGTAAAGTATGCTTTTAAGATATTATTTTCAGTTCTGTGAGTAAATATATATTTTATTTTTTGTTTATAGGATATTTTAAAATACTATTTACATATATCTAATGGGATGTTTATCATGATATACTGTTTATTTAAAGACATTTGATCAGTAAAGTAATATAAATAATATATAATTATAATGGTAACTGCCATTGAATGAATGACTAATTAGTACAAGATGCTTTCTGGTTAATTAATTCTCACAACTATCCTGAAATGTAGAAACTACTATATCCACTTTAATTTGAAATAAATTCTTCATGATGAATTTAGTGCTCTACTTCTCTGACTATTCATTAGATATCCTACACTAGCTACCTGTTATGTTGACTTATTTTGCTTTCTGCTAATGGTGTCTTTCATATTTAACTAATCATTTTCTCGCTTTGCTTTTAGGATTTGATACCAGTATCTTGCCAATTTGCAAGGACTCACTTGGCTGGATGTTTAACAGACTTGATACAAACTATGACCTTCTATTGGACCAGTCAGAGCTCAGAAGCATTTACCTTGATAAGAATGAACAGTGTACCAAGGCATTCTTCAATTCTTGTGACACATACAAGGACAGTTTAATATCTAACAATGAATGGTGCTACTGCTTCCAGAGACAGCAAGGTAAAAGATGAGACCCCTACAGATGCAAATAGTTGACCTGCATGTCAAATTTTACTTATTTTTTATGATAATAAAACAGTACACTATGCTCATTCATTTTATATATGTTTTTGTAATTCAGGTGTTTAATAAAAGAGCAAATAAGCAGCTTGTTGAGCAAACAACTCTGCCAGAGATGCAACACATGCTAAATAAGATGAAAAATAGTAATTAATATTTTATATTAATGCACTGCATTATAGTTTCCATTATGAGCCACCAAGAAGCACATAGAGATATAAGAACATAGATATTAAAAGTAATCATTAAAATTAATTTGCTATCTGCTTTGCCCACAATGTAAAATAATGAGTTTTTTATCACTATACTGTGGAGTTTTAATGTTCTATTTTGTGATCGTATTAAATGAGTTGAGTGAACCAGAGCATTCACAATAAAGTTATTTTTACTCCTGTGATTTTAAAATGATTTAGTCTTTCAAACTTTTCAAAATAGCTTAGCTTTTATAAAATTCACTAGCAGAAAAAGCATCTCTTAATACTAAGCAGGAGGTCAGGCAAGTGAAAAGTTAGAATGATACCAATTCTTTCTGCATCTTTGTATATTAGGAAATGTAAACATAATGTAAAATTGGAATCATGCTTACGGAATCAATTGATAGTTTATATTAAATATGTATAGGGGAAAAAACAAGAAACTCACATTATTATAAAGTTTTGAGAAACTAAAGAAACAATGGTAAGTGTAATGTTGATGTTAATTTAGGAAAATACCCTGGGAATTAATGTGGTAATTCCTGCCTTGTCAATGCTTTTTTAAATTCTTGACACCTAAGAGAAAGAACAAGATACTTTACTATATCAATGATTGTTAGTCTTCGATATGGAAAACCAGCACATTATATGGGGTATTTTATTATCTCAATTACTTTTCCATATTTAGTAATAGTTCAGTAATTGGGGGTGAAATGAATATGCATAAATTGATTAGTGGTAAGTCAACAGAAGCTTTAGTTGAGTACAGTAACTTAACTGTTTATGAACTACTCTAAAAAAAAGTTTAAAAAATACATTTACTGTATTAAAATATGTATTACACATACAAACACACATTGTTGGCTATATTACATATGTGCTTTCAAGTTAAATACTCTTAAAAGCCTACATCCTAGTATTAATGATAAGTGTGCATTTAAATAATTTAAATAATAAAAAGTAGTAAATCCAGCTAAACTGCCAGAAAAATACATGTAGTCATGTACTATTTTCTTATGATGACAAATGTTATTTTAGTTTTTTATTTTTATTTTTTGGTGTTATGATAGCATATTTTTGGTGTCTATACACAAACATTTAAAATATTCTGAATAATGC